ATAATAATATTAATTCACAGCAGAATTTAATTTAAAAACATTTTTTACTCTTGTTTTTTAAAAAACTTTATGGTTTTCATGAAAAACCGTATTAACTGAAATAATATTTTAACAAGTGTTTATTAGAAAATAATCGAAAAGTCCGTAGTAGTTAATTAATTTATTTTTCAAACTTGTCAGTTTGTAATAAAATGATTTTATTTCAACAGTTGCCTCTGATTGTTGTTGAAAAATTATTATTTTATTATTCATTTGTGTTTTTCACTTAATACAATATTCGCTTATTTAAAAACTACCTAGGTACTTGTATTCTTTTTGTAGAATTAGAAGAGAAGTGAAGTAAAATTTATTTGGCCAATTGTCAAACTTGAAAGATAAAGCCTACTACTGACTTTTTGATTATTTTCTATTGAACACTGTTAAAATCTTGTGTCAGTTAATACAGTTTTTCTTGAAAACCATAAAGTTTTTTATTTAACAAGAGTAAAAAAAAAAATTAAATTAAATTCTGCTGTTAATTAATATTACTATTTTTCAATTCGGTCAATGAAAAAAAGGTTCGGTACAATTTTAGGGGTGAGTCATCCCCAATGGCCCTTGTAGTGCTTCAATTAACTTTAAATCATAGTCAGAAGATCAGTAATAAACCTAAATCATGTACCAAAGGTTCTTCTACGGTAAAGTGTTGCAGAGATATTATTTTTTTCGAAATTTTAAGTAAATCTTTGACGTTTTCGAAAAACTAAAAGTTTCTGCAAGTTTCAAGTAAGATGTTTCCATCAGTGTAGTTCGATACACAAGTAATTTGTGTATATTATTTTTATCCATATATCTGTATCATGTCTATTTCTTAAAGTATCAATCAATACTGTAGAAATTTGCTAAAGTCAATAAATTTCTAAATATTTTTATAATTAAGTCCATATTTAATTCTAAAAATAGAATTTAAAAATGATATAATAGAATTATTCCTGTTAAAATAATAAATCATCGAGATGACACTCGAAACAAAAATTTCAAATTTTACTTTTCCTTATACCTACCTGGTGGGACTCCCTATAAACAATTTTGTATAGAAAATCTTTAAGCTGTTATATTAATACTTCCTTTACAGCTTTATCCAAAGGCAAACCTACTAGTATTAGTAATAATCACTTTCATGAGTAGACATTGAGATATGATCAAATAAATAGATCAAATAAAAACAATATAGGATTTACGGATTAATCACGTTGAAGTGTTCATGTGAGAGTTTTAACACTGTCATATTAAAGGGCAATAATCACGCCCTTTATTATTGACCTTCTGGTGCGTTATTGCCTTTTCAAGTGCTTCACGATTGACAGGAACTGCAATGTTTTAAGCTGATGGTCTCACGTTTGTAATTATTTTTTAATCTAAAATTTGTTAACCAAATTGGGAATGGTATCTGGTAATTGAATTCCTGTATTCTAAAGCTAGTGTATTATAATTGATAATTGATTGATAATTTTTTTTGTTTGCCATCTACTTTGATATTCAAATTTTTGAATGGGACAAAATATTGACATACCTATGTGTAAAGTTCGGTGGAATTAGAATTAGAAAAATTAATAAAAAAATATGTGGCTGGAAAAGTGAGAAAATGTTTGAAAAGAAAGACGTGATATTTTTTGACTAAAATGAATTAAGCAACATGTTAAGTCGGGTACACATTTGAGCATGAACAGGTGAAGCTCGTACCTGTCAGTGCTCAGGTGTATACCTGGCTTTTGAGACACTGCCGAATCATAGTTATTTTTGGCTAAAACACATCAGAGTATATCTACGGACTGTCTTTTAAATCATGGCACAGGTGGTATGATGTTAGTATTTTTGTCAAGATATGACTTTTTTGCTCTTTAGTCTTTACTAGTCTATATGTATAAACAATGATCTATTAGGTTATTTCAAGAATTGCCTCTAATAAATTAAACTGGAAAATATAGATAAATATTCTGAAATTTCCATTCCTTAAAAATCATTTACCCATTAAAAATATATTCGCAGAAATTGAAATAAGTGTGTTATCTAATACAAATATTTATGAAAGGGATATACACAGTGTAAACAATATTTGTTTTCACTTATGAATGATGTCTCGTCCTACCTTATTTTTACTTATTCGGTATATATACGTATTAAAATAGGCTTCTTTAAAAAAAAGGTTTTAGTTTTAGCGTGACACCTTAATCTTCTGTAAAAAGTCGACTCTTCGTTATAGATTAGAGGTGTCACGAAGAGAAAGCACCGATAAATCTAACGTGACCTTTTTACAGTTGATGCGAAAAGATTATTAGTCAAAGGAATCTAGGGTAACTTTGTACTTAAAAATAATCTGGCCAATATGTTAAAAATAGTCACTTAAAATTATGTTACTTAAGGATAATCATACCATAATCATATAAGTGTGATTCTTTTGAAATTTAATTTTATAGGCTGTTCAGGGAATAAGTCATACCTCAAGGGTAGCGTCCTTAAATCAAAATAAACCGATTTAATTCAAGTTACCTTGTTAAAATGGGGTTTACTTTCCTAAAGTCATCGGCCTTTAAAAAAAAATATTTTAAAATAACTCAGACACATTTAAATATATTTTACTATGATATAACAGAGGGGCGTTTTTGGGATAGACGAATATCAATATAATTATAATAATTATAATAATTATTTAGATAAAGGTCGTTAAGTACACCCTAGACAGTAGCTCTTTTGCTAGGCACTTATATATATTTTTTTGTTGAAAAAGGTTTTGTGAAAACAGGGATGTTTTATGAAACCCCGTTTTATTTACCGTAAAGAAGGTACACTTCTTGCACGTAACTAAATAGTATGTATGTATGTATGTATTCTGTCGAGGAAAAGCTAAATTTCGATTTTTACTGCATCAATTTAGGACAGTCGAATATTTGGAAGTATTTTGCATACCCTTATTAAGAAGAGTGTTTGTCAACCTCAAAATTAAATTCACAGGACTTAATCTCAGTACTTAAGTGTTGATTTTTAAATGAGGGTAAATTGTCTAAAGGATAAAAAATATCTAGTTCATTTGCGAATTTTGTATCTTATTAAAATTAGATAAAATGACTTACCTGCTTCAGACCTGCTTCTCGAAATCTGTACTAAAAAGTTCTTAACCTTAGAAGGTAACAAAATTGTCTTGAAAAAAAAAAATGGAATAAAATTTACTTTCAAAGCACGTAACTGTTTAAGGAAGCAAAAATATATTAAGGTAATTAAATTTGAGTCACTTCATTTTGACCCAAAGAAGCTACCTTAAAGTATCACCCATTCACTTTCTGTATAATTTATTGACAGATAGATTGATAATTTTTGTGCATTTTTTTTTATTAGGTAAAAGGGACAATTTTAAAATTACATAAAATAAAACTAGATATTATACTTTGAATGAAAAATGGTAAAAGTAACAAAACAATGAAATATAATTTTTATAGATATATGTTCGAAGTCATATTTATTTTCTTATAATATTTTAGATATTCTTTACAGATGTATTTTACGAAAACAAAATAGTTTATCGGAACCAAAGGGAACATGTGTTCTTGTGCTTTAAATGTTTATATTTTTTGTATTTGTATACATTTATTATGTAATTAAAAGGTTTGTGTTTTAAAAATGATGTGAATTCTAAATTATATCGGAAAAGCGAATCCAATAAACAATATTTATACAATAAACATAATATTTATGCCTCTATGTATTTAGGTATTTAGTGTGTCAACCTCAAATAACAAAAATTGTTAAAAGTCACGAATAACCTAAGTGTTTGGCTTTCAAACACTTCAATAAAATCAGTCTGGCTCTATTAATTCTCAGATTATGACGCTACTGAAGACATTATTTAGCATTATTTAACATATTAACTGCTATAAAGTAATATAGGCCAGGAAAAAGAGCTGGGAAATGACAATTTCGCGACTTTTTGTTTCGGCAAGCTGAATTTTTATAGAAGCTGAATATTATGTACAATAACATATTAGTTTCCACAGTTATAAAAATGGGAGGAAGATTGTTTTACAGGGTAGTTAACTGTATAATTTTTACGATTTTCGCTTATAACTTTTTTCCGTTCATTTCCACGAGAAAACAGTAAAATATTTTTTTTTCATCTTCAAAAGGCATATAAAAGTAGCCCTCGAGCGTAAAAAAATATTGATTAGGTCAAAAGTTATAAACAGAAGAAATTTATTTATGACTTTTCAATTAAACATTTATAAACTGCGTTATTATTACCAGAACGTTTTGGCATTGCATCCTCTCATTCGTTATCACTGTCTAATAACTCACACGAAATCTGGAATCGGTAAGTTGAATAGTTTACAAGTTATGGCCTTATAAACAAATTAACTAATAATTAGTCTGGGCGATCCCGAACATCTTCCACAATCGCATTGATTTTTTTCATGGTAAATTTCATAATAATACATTGAAATCTATCATTTTTTTTAAATTTCGCATTTGCGACCTTAGTTACAAAATGAAATATATGAAAAGAGCTTTAAATTAAAAAAAAATCGTCAAGATTCGTTGAAAAACAACGGAGTTACAGACTGACGTAAAAATTGTACAATTAACCACCCTGTAAAAAATCTTCCCCCCATTTTTATGACTCTGGAAACTAATATGTTACCTATTGTACATAATATTTAGCATCTATAGTGATAAATTCAGCTTGCCGAAACAAAAAGTCGCGTCCAACTCTATATTTCCTGGCCTAAATATTGGACAGGATTAAAACATTTATCGCAAGTATATTTTCCGCTAAATAAAATTTAACAACTTAAGGTGACACCTCAATCAATTTTTGGCCAGTATAAGTACCCTCAAATATATTACATAATATGAATAACAAATTTAAGGTGGCACATTATTTATAAACTTTTAAGGAGCTACCTTAGGTATAATCAAAAAATTAAAAATAAATGTATATTTTTTTTCATTAAATATTTTTTTTTTTTTAGTTTGCGGAGGGGTCCTGGTGCTAATGTTCAAGACAGCAGTGGATACACACCACTTCACCATGCTGCATTAAATGGACACACGTAAGTTTATACATACGAGTACTCGATACATAGGTACTTTTTTTAAATTGTAGATTGTATGATTAGTTTTAATAATAAATTCATTCTCAATTTCACCAGTTCTTACTAATTAAAATTCTAATAGTTTGCTTTGCAGAAGTTTTATTCCGGATTAGATTAGATAAAATATTAAAATAAGTACCTAGGTAATTATTTTTAGTGATGTTCTGTTCAGTGACACGTTAGTTGTGAGATTTGAGATTTGTGATATTATGTTTGGAACTTCAATCAGAATAATTCTATGTCGCAGCAAGATGTTTCCAAGAATTAACATTAACGCTACTATAGATTTATCTCTACGTCACTTTACTTCCAAATTTAGTATCGCTTATAGACATCAATGCCGAAAATGACAAACAAATCAAAACAGGATTTGAAGTTAATGTGTTTTAAGCAATTAATATTAAAATATATATGGGGAAAATTATCAACTATAATCTAAAATAAATGTTGACCGTAGCATAGCGACGATCTTAATGTAGCTAACTTACATTATTAGTTTTCTGTTAGGCAGAGATTTATTACGATAGTTTTGAAGTTCGTGTAACTGAGATTTTTAATAGATATAGAAAGTAGGAAAAATTATTTATGTACATATTATACAATACTTATTTCGTTATACTGCAATTATTTTTAACTTTATTCAGGCGATAAATACTGTATTAACTTACAAGTCCCTCTCTAACGGCGTAAATAATTCTCAAGTTTAGCTATCAGTATTACAATTACCAACAGTAAGAACTAATCGCCTGTGTCTACATTTTCTTATTCTCTAGGTTTGTCGTCAGGTTGTAGTACTTACAATTAGACAAAATTATTTTGGTGAGGATAAAATTTAACCACCAGTTGGTTAACTAAACGTCTTTTTTTCCAGCGACATCGTTAGGCTGCTATTGGAGCATGATGCTTCCACAAATATTGTGGACAGCAAGGGATCATCTCCCCTTCACTTAGCAGCATGGTCCGGTAATGTTGATATCGTTAGATTGCTGCTGTCGGGACCATCCATTTGCAACGTTAACTTAACGGTAAGGAACTGTTTTAATTTGTACATTTGTTTCTTCGTACGGTGAAGTTGAGTTTATGGTTGGATCATTACTGTTATTATTTAGCCAGTTACATATACATAAAACCTATGTAATAAAATTTCATTAACACCCTGTATATTATAACTTGTAACATCCTGTACATACATGTTTTTTTATTAGATTTTATTAAAATATTGGACACGTATTACGATATTTTTAGTGGTTTTCTCGGAGGTTTTGTGAAAAAAGAGAAAAACATTTTATTTGAATTGTGGCGCTGATGTATTTTTTTAATAGATGTAAAAGTAGATTCACCGACATAAACAATTCCAGTTTACAATTGTTCAATAGCATGAGATATCGTTGCGATTAAATTCAGTGTATTTTAGTTTTACGCTTAAGTGACTAGCCGCTACTATAGGCTGCTGTTGGCACTGCCTAGTTAGTAACCGAATAATGATCTTTACCCTACTTTCGGAAAAAGTATTCTATTTATTAGCTTCATTTTATAAATTTTTATGTAATCATTTATTATACAAAAATTGTTTTTACTACAATTATTGTGAGTTTTTATTTCACTACAATAATACAGGATGGTCCAGATTTTAATGGACAAACTTCGGGAAAGTACTAAACAACAAAAGTTTGCTTTATGAACATAGGGGCTGAAAGCCACCGTTTATGAGATACAGGGCGTTGAAATTATCAAAAATAAATGAATTTTTTTAAATATCTGGAAAACTTCATCAAATTTAGCCAAATTTGATACACATTTTTTTTTTCGAATATTTCTCCTAGTTCTGTATGCACACAGTCCAAATCCAAAAACCAGTGGCGGAGAAACAAGGACGTTGTTTCCTTATTTAGAGTAAAACTTCTACGCCACTGAATTGGTAATATGAATACATTTTATAACGGTCGGAAATATTCCGGATGAAAAAACATTCTTTTAGTTTTGTCGAAAAGTGAATGGTTTACGAGTTATGAAACATATTATCCAAGTAAACAAAAAGTTGAAATAGGGAAAAATAAAACGAATTTGGATGGTCCAGTTTTAATAGACAAACTTCGAGAAAGCACTAAAAAACAAAAATTAACATCACTTTGCTCTATTAACATAGGCACAGAAAGCTACCATTTGTGAGATACAGGGCGTTGAAATTAACAAAAGTAAAACAATTTTTTTAAATATCTGGAAAATCGCATCATCAAATTTATCCAAATTTGGTACAAACTTTTTTTCAAATATTTGTCCCAGTTCTGTATGCACACAGTCCAAATTCAAAAACCAATAGCGGAGAACAATAATATCGTTTCCTTATTTAAAGTAAAACTTTTATGCCACTGAATTAATTAGTAATATGAATACATTTTACAACGATCTGACACATTCCGGATGCAGAAACACTCTTTTATTTTTGTCGAAAAGTGAATGGTTTAAGAGTTATGAGACATATTATGATGTGATTTTCCAGATATTTAAAAAAAATAGTTTATTTGTGTTAATTTCAACGACCTGTATCTTATAAACGGTAGTTTTCTACGTCTATGTTCATAGAGCAAAGTGATGTTAATTTTTGTTATTTAAAACTTTCCCAAAGTTTGTCTATTAAAACCTGGACCACCCAAATTTGTTTTATTTTTCCCTATTTCAACGCTTTGTTTAGTTGAATAATTTGTGTCATAACTCGTAAACCATTCACTTTTCGATAAAAATAGAAATATGTTTTTTCATCCGGAATGTTTCAGACTATCATAAAATGTATTCATATTACCAGTGAATTCAGTAGCGTAGAAGTTTTACTTTGAATAAGTAAACGACTTCCTTGTTTCTCCGTCACTTGTCTTTGAATTTGGACTATGTGCAAACAAAACTAGGGGAAATATTTGAAAAAAAAAATGTGTACCAACTTTGGATAAATTTGATAAAGCCGTTTTCTAGATATTTAAAAAAAACTGTTTTATTTTTGTTAATTTCAACGCCCTGTATTTCATAAACGGTGGCTTTCTGCGCCTATGTTCATAGAACTAAATGATGTCTATTGTGTATCTATTAAAATCTGGAACACCCTGTATAGTACTTTTTTATTCTGTGTAGTAAAATATTAGATCTTGTGAAGGTACGTTTAAATATTTTCCGGTATTTTAACTTCATATTTCTAATACACGAAATAAGCGGGAATAAATTAAAAATGTTTCATTAGCCTGGTAATTTGTCCAGTTTCAGAAAAGGAACCCTTTCCTTCAATATACGAACAAATTAAGTCCAACTCATAAAGTTTTTATATTAAGCCCCGATATGTTAGTCCCAGCGGGATTAACGACAAAATTTTACTAGCTCTAATTAGGATAGTGATGTTGGGAGGGTAACAACTGAACGACTGCAGAATGAATGACACTCTGTAGTCGGTCGGCGGGTCCGTCAAAAGGTCGTGGTGAAGTGGCCATCGTGAAAGGGCCCATTAGACTATTATGCAGGCAATGGTGATTAATCTGCACAAATGGGTCCTTACATTGCCAATCACTTGTATTGCTTGTTTGATTTTGACCCGTAAATTCACTTGATTTATTCCGTGAAAGGGATAATCAAACTGTGTATTAGTCAGTTTCGATGGTAGATCGACGATAATGTATTCATCTTGGACATAACTTTGGTGCACCAAATCAAACTGCGGGAAGTTGTTAGGTACATCGCATTTCCAGAGTTATTGTTTGAGAATTCACGCAGATATGCCCTTGTAATGTTGAACAGGATATGTATTATTCAAATTATCTACAATGTGGTCGACCAAGGATCAGAACACTCTTGTGACATTTTATTCGAATTTATCAATTTTGGTGCCTAACATCAAGTTGCTTTGGAGTAACGTGGCCTATTTTTATTCAGGTCAATGCTTTATTCATATCAAATTACTAGAAAATAATTTTTTTTTCACGAAATTTCGAACACTAGGCTCAAAATACTACGTTAATTTCTAGGTATATCAAAGGCGGTTGTCTTCTCCATTTTCGAGATACAGGATGTGTTAATAGTTAAAAAAATATATATATTCTGTAAATATCTTCGGTATTTGAACTAAATTTGGTGTACGTTATATTGGGTCAAGTTTCCATGAAATACTGTAATATTAAGACTTTTGTCTAACCAGTGTTGGAGATATAGGAAATTCATTAGACTATTTTATAAAAAAAATAAATAATACGGTCCTGTGTAAAATAATAATTGATTATATTTTCTGAAAAAGCATGCCAATGAAAACAGAAAATACCTCTTAAATTTCGTCGATATCTGTCTCTGTTATACGGCAAATTGGATTTCTTTTTTTCCTTTAAAATTACCCAAATACTGTGCGCCAATGGATTTTTTGAATTCCTGTTAGAAATGTTTCGGCTAGGTTCAACTAATTTAAATAAAAAATAAAGTAGCATCCTTCGAATCATTAGTATTATTATTTGGTTATTTTAAGAACTTCCAATTAATTTCCAAGTAAAAGTCAACTTATTAGGCTTTCTTTAATTTCTTGAGCAAGGTTTTATTTTATGCTAGACCTGTAGCCTTAAGGAGGAATATGTGGTTGCAATTAAATGGGGCTCTTGCTGTTTGGCACATTATATTGATTTTTTCATTAAAACAGTGATTTCTCAGCGATTTCAATTATTTTTTATTTGTATAACATGAGACTGCCTGAAATGACTTACAACTCAGGAAACTTTCAACTTTCAAAAATAATTCTAAAATGTCTCTGGGAAAACTTATTTGAACCAAATTTTAATACAATTTAGTTTTTTATAATCAAAATTTGACTTTAAAAAATAATCTTTGACTCTTCAATTTATGGCGGGGAGTTATTCTTATAGTGAAATTTAGCGATACAGTAATATTTACTTGTTTTTATACTTCTTTGTGTTGAAAATTTTTTTGAGCAGTGTCTAAAGATTAGTCATTTTTTTAACATTAAATATGTCTCTTTCGTATTTATTTTATGTTGATATGTATTTAAAAGGGGATGACAACTATTGGAAACTTAATGTAACAGTTACTATAGTAAATTTGAAAATAATTCAGTGGATTGCTGGCTTTATTATTTTCAGGTATAAATGATATCAATCCGGTAATCATATATTTCTTAAATATCCAGTATTTTCACCATCTCTTTAAAAATAATGTGACTCTACTATGAGCTTATAAAAACAACTAAGAAGTTAAGCCTCTAATATGATTCACATCGAACTATTGTCGAGTAAATTACTTAGACCTGATTATAATAAAATTAATTAGATGCTATGTAGGTACTTATCAATTTCATTTTTTGTCAGTTCATCTAACATCGTTCTTAAAAAACTTGGTTTTCAATATTTGGTGAAATATTATTTGCTTGTGATTTATTACAAAACAATGAAATTATTTTATATTTATAAAATTTTACACGTAAGTGTTATTGTAAAAGTTAAATCTTAATAAATTTTCTTAAAATAGGAACATAAATGAAAAGGAAGTCAACAACTAAAAAGGAAATTCGAATTAAAAGAAATATGAAAAAAAAACTAGTAGATTTAACATAACATATAATAAATAAATGCAAAAAAACTGTAACTGACAAAACAGAAACTGGTCCAACTAAAAGTTATTTAAATAACCAAATCTTAATAAGGATCCAGATTACTGGATGTTTGTTTTTATATGCACTGCATTTAAGGGATGCGTTTATATGCGCAATTTTTTATCCAGGATTCTAGAAAACCTATGCTTTTCTTCAGGGTGTAAGATAACTGACAATCATTCAAAATAAGGAAAAAAAAAAGAAATTTTTAATTCTTACGTTTCCTGAATTTTGCACGCCTGTTGAATATACAGAAAATCGCGTACGGTGCTATAAACATGATTACAACCCGCAGAATGTTTTTAACAAGCTATTAACACATGAATTAATCACAATTATTAAGTATCTTTACAATTTTGATGGATAAAACAGGAAAGGTACATTTCCTGATGTTTACAT